AACAAAGCAATTCTCCGTAGTGTGTCCATGGGTGCGATGAAACTCACACCAGTCGGTCTTGTAGGGACCTAATTGGCGGTCATTCGCCGCCGGAAACTCGAAAAATGACGCGTTGTTGACGTCATGGAGTATGTGCCTCCTGGGAACGTTGAGTGGGGTGAATTTTTCCTGTTTGTTGCTTCGTGTCCACTCACCCTTCGCCCGACCGCCATAGTCCGACTGCCTGTGATTCCCCTCCTTGGCATCGTAGTGATTAGTCGCTTATTCCAGTCTGAGCGTACCCGGAGGTGCTTGTTGCCTTCCTTATTACTGCCCCCTGCCTCTCGGTTTTCATCTGCTCTTTTAATAATCTGGTTTTCCTCCGTTTTGATGTGACTCAAGGCGAAAGCCCTCACCTCCGACATCGTTTGACAGTTTTCTTTTTCGAGCGCAATGTCGAAAGCTCCGGACCTTAAACCCTTCTGGAATGCAATGACTGCCATCCTCTCGTCCAACGACGCTATCCTCAATGCGACCTCGTTGAACCTTTGTAGAAAATATTTCAGCGACTCCTCGCGTTGCTGCTTGAGGTCGAATAAGTCCGACGTGATCGGTGATTTCTTCTTGTTAGCGGCGAATTGCGCCATGAAGAGCCGACTGAAGACATCGAAGTCGGTGATTGATCAATCAGGAAGACCACTAAACCAATCAAGCGCTGCCTTCTTGAGTGTGCCCATGAACAATTTGCAGCGGACCTCCATGCTCCGGCCACAGATCAACATTTGAGCGCGGAAATCCGTCAAAATGCTGACTGGGATCCTGTGTTCCATCAAAAGGCTCGACTTGGGGTATCCGATGATCCCTGGGATAATCTCGGCCTCTATGGCTTCCGAGAAGGGTCGAAAATCCCTAGGGACTTCCAGCATGACATCCTCCTCCACCGTCCTGGTACTGGCCGCTATTCTGGCCTGCATCTCGTCCGCTCGCCTCCTGATCTCTTCGTTCTCACGTTGGATGGCCTCCTCTCTCTCCCTGGATCGCACATTTTCTTCCCTCAGACCATTTCTCATGGCCATCATCTCCTCCATGGTGGGGTGTTGTGAGTCGTTGTTCGATGTGCCGCCTCTCGCCATGGTAAAGTGTAGGTCTTTCTGTACGACTTGGGGCGTAGGAGAAGTTTCACCGTAGCCCCACGGTGGGCGCCAAAATGTTCCGGCCAAAGAGTGGACTAGGATTTTTTCCTAGATCAAGCCTCCGAGCCAGAGCATTCAAAAGTGTAATCTGCCCTCTCAACTTTAGGGTTTCTAGTTTTATAGTTTCTTGTTTACGGGCTTCATGGGCCCCGAGAATGTAGGGATTTCCTTAACCGTTCTAATCTGGGAAATATTTGATGATGGACAGTGGGACCTTGTCCTTGCTATTGGATAGTTCCTACATGCGAAGGTTAGATCGGCCCCCGACCGACTAGGTCCACATTGAGTGCACAATTGGATAACGGCCGAGCAGGTTCTTTTTGGGCGAGAGAGGTCGGTATTTGACCGACATAGCTAACGCAGATGATCCCAGTCGGATATATACCGAGTGACTCTGAGAGAGTGGGTCAGCCGGGGTTCCAGTCGGCTGGCGACCAGGAGAAGGACCCGGTCGGAATCTGACCGGGACGGTACACTTGCCTTCCAGCCCTAAGCCTGCAAGGCGTAAGGGCTTTCATTGTCCTGAGCTCGAATCCAGGTCGGATTTTGGCCGAGCCTTATCGGGGTGCGGGGTGAGATTGGTAATCTCCCGACCGGGACGACACAATATATATAATGTAAACATGACATGGAATCGAATCCAGCTTTCCTCATATTCTATATATTCTTCTATGCAAACTTGTTTGCACTGCTATGAATGAATGGATTACTTGTTAGGGGATGCTTCAACTTAACCCTTATGCCTTTTAGGCTTGGGATTGATAGACAAGTATATCATCTCGATTATAATCTAACATAGGCCTAGTATGCCTACCCGAATCTATACCAGCATAGGTTTGTTGACTTAAAAAACCTAAGGACAAAAAACTAGTCAAGCTAATGAATCAATCATAGACCAATTCAATTATCCATAGAGGAAAACCAATTTTACTAAGAACAAGAGGTAGTTAGTGTTAATCTGACCTTTATTACTTAGTATGTGATCTATCAATCACACTTAACGGAAGTGATAGAGTAAACAATACATATGTAATTCCATTAAAAATCTTGAGGTTAGTAAATAATTATCATCTTTCATGAGTCATATACCTTATCCTAATATAACTTTTTGGTACGTACATTAAAAATAAATTCGTAGACGACAATATATACGTGGCTGTAGAACAAGAGCTTCAGTTTATCTCTTTCCTCCTGGATTTCATAATTAATGAAGCATCTTCAGAGCAAATACTTGCAAAGTCCAATAATGGAATTAAAGGGTGCTCCACAACAATCTCACATGGTGTGACTCTACAAGGGTTTTAGTTTAACAGGATCCGAACTTTCCTATACTTTCCAAAACTAGCTACCTTTTTTTCCTGATTGGTTAAATGATTTGATTGAACAATCTTGCTCATTCCGTTCCATATTTTCCTTTTCTTCTTCGCTGCCTAGATAGAGATGGAAAACGGTTCCTTCATTTTTGGAAAATTTTTCCTACTCTTTGTCAGAAACAACTTTATATCATCTTTGCTGAACCTGAATCTTCACATGACAAGATGAACATTCATTATTATAATTTATAACATATATATTATGCTTTCCTCTCCTTTCCAAAGTAATTTATAAGCTTGGATTGTAGCATATATATTTCATTGCTATAACCTAACAAAATACCTAGGTAGCTAGATTTTTTTAAACTTTATAGTAGTTAAAGTAGTTCTAATTAAAGTAATAATATATTTTTTGTTAACTATATATTGAACTTAAATGTCCTACGTGGCACAATATATATACTGCTTGTCTTCATAGTGCTATAGAAATTTACTAATCATAAGTATGGGTGCTGTGAACTGTACACTGCATATCCCTGCAATGCCGATGAAGATTTACTTGTCCCAGATATTAACAATGAAATATTAAAAGGATATATATCTTCTGTTGATGGTTCATGCATGTGTAAGCATCGTATGTACATACATATGATTCTCCACAATCCAAGCAAAACAGTATCGCTTGACAATTATATGCGGACAACCTGAAAAGACAAATGTTAAGGTTTTGTCATGATGACTAGTTTGATGGATCGGAAAACATGTCCTACATCTTTATCGTGCTATCGACTTTCTGAACGAAATTGATTGATTGTTCTAGCATTTCTATGATTGTAACCAAATAAAATATATAAGACAATGTAACTGTGATTCAGCTGGACATATGTCGGAGTACGGTTTGATCATGATTCATGACCGAGGTGATGAATGTTTTATCTAAGTTTGGATTCATAAATTAAGCATTATTGTTATTCTGTGGTTGATATTGAAGTTTTTGCTCCCCAGCCCCTTACAAATTCAAAAAGAACCAAGGACTTAAGTTTTCCTCATGGACAAAGGAGACTATAATTATTTTGTTTGAGAAACCGTTTTGATTATATCCCATCATTTTCTGATGATTTTGAATTTTCAAAAGAAAAAAATAATAATTCAAGTTGTTGCGCCAACTAGCGGCAAATAAAAGATCTGATTTTGCGATGATAATTACATATGGGTGATAGTGATTCTACGATATCGATATTCGGAACAGTGGCATAATTAAACAATATTGCTGATTTCACCACCTAGAGGAAAAGAAGTCATTTTGTTAAATCCAGAATTGTTACTGTAATTACCATTTGCTTATTCATGAACATAATTTTTACGCACTTTCTTTTTTGAAAAATAAATTAGACTGTATGTTTTTTTTATTTATTTATTTTTATCATTTGGACAAATTACATAAATAAATGTGCAAATACCGTTGTTGTTTTATCAAAAGGACACCGAGGCGGTAACTTACTTTTGAAGCATGTCGTGCAATAGTTGGCAACAAAAACCACTAGTAGTTAGTAAGCCAATTCACGAGCCTATAATATCTAGATTATTGCTCAATAAAATAAAAATCATGGAGGACTAGCTAAATACAAATTTGACTTATGAGGATTGCGACTTCATGCCTTCCCTAACGTTTCTCAAACGTACTTTTCGCAAAGTCTATGATTTGCGCCCACTGGATACTTTTTTGAGTTCATAATAATAGAATCAAAGTGGCTAGCTACTGTATTATTGTGTCACACCCTCGAGTCCTCGACCCTTTTCACTGTACGTATCTTAGTGTTATATGTTACTCAGAGATTGCTTGACAAGTGCAAAAATTAATAAACCACGAAAATTGACTCTGTTGAATATTCGATTTCAGGTTTATAAAATAACATTACATTATTTATTTTGATGGATCGAAATTAGTAGTCTTACTTTCCCTGATGTAAAGTTTATTGTTGTTCGTACAAAAAAAAAAGAGGTTGCCGACATATGAAGCTAATTCCAGTCTTGCAACATCTTAGAAAAGGAGCAGCACTGTTCACTGTTCACTGTTCACTGTTCTGATTGATGCTTTTAGTGAGTAATATATCCGATCCAAAATGGACAGGGATAGTGGGTAAGCAAAAGTTAAGAAGTTGAATACAAGTGGATACAGCTATATATCTCGTTCTTGTCATTGTGATTGGTGCTATACTATGCTTTTTGTTCCGATTCATTTGTTCTATCGTCATCGAACTTCCCAACTTAATTGCCTCTTGTATCACCACCAAGTCTTATATTCTCCAGTACTCTCTGTAGCATGTATAACATTACCACCTTAATTAATTAATTTTGCTGATACGATAGTACTGTAGCGCAGAGAATAGACAGCGATCTTTGAGAACAAGATAATTTTCTTCATTCAATTATCCTAATAAGACGTACTAGTTACGACCACTCTGGAGTCTGATTTAACAGAAAAAAACGTGAAATAAAAGAGATTTGCAGATACTGATTCAATCGATCTCAGGGGACCTCACTCACGTACGTATGTATTAATTGTCCTGTCTGCTCATTCATCCCGAAACAGATACATATCTTCAAAATCAAAGCATCGAATGAAATGAAACATTTACACACACAGCATCACTTTCACTTAACTAACTAATTTCTCATCAAGCCAAAAACGGTTAATTAATTATTATTTTATTTTTGTTGTTGTTGTTGGTGGCGGTGGTGGTGGTGGTGGTGGTGGTGACGGCGGTGGTGGGTTAGAAAAGCAAAAGCCTAATATGGGAGGGATTAAGCGGGCCTGGGCCTGAACCTTTGCCTACAGGAATGGCAAGTGATCTCCATGCACGTGGAATCCACCTGTCTCGTCGCACGCTCCTTCATTCTCTCCGCCTTCTCGACCTCCTCCCTCGCACGCTCCCACATTTGGCGCGCACGTGCGAACTCCGACTGCGCCATCTCCATCTCGCGCCGCGTCAGCTCGCGCACACGCTCCGCGTACGCCTTCTCCATCGCCGCCAGACGGATTTGCTCCGCCGCCTGCCACTTGAGCGCCTCCACGCCGTCGCACATCAGCACCGCCGGCGGACGCACGCTGATCGAGAGCTGCAGGTCGAGCGAGGGGGCGCCGCCGCACTCTGTGGTGGAGGAGGACGAGGAGTGCAGGTGGAGAAGGGAGGAATCGGAGCGCGACGGCGGGAGGAGGTCGAGTTCTCTGTTGACTTCGTCTTCCATCGGAGAAGCAGAAGGAATCCGGTACTGTTATCAAGGAAACTGTTTTGATCGGTTACTCACCCAAGAGGGAGTTACGACTCAATCCCCGTAGCGGCAGCTATATATAAACAACTCCACCACTCTAAATTACCATTTCACCCTTCTCATATTCTATTTTTTTCACATATACCAACTTTTTAAAATACCCTTTATATTCATAAGAATTGTATATATATATATATATAATGCACACGTTCTTACCCAATAATTAACCTTCTAATTATTTTTTTGTTATGGCATTGGCCGTCTCTTTTGTACCGTAAAATAGTAAGAATAAAGGATGCGGGAGGACAGAAAAGTAATTTAGGTAAAAGGTGGGGATGAAGGTTTTGAAGGGTGGGAAAATCCGTTATGAGATTGGGGAAAGGGAGGGAAAATAACGGATGGCGTTATAGGGATAGGATGAGAGGGACCCCGTGGGTTTTAGATTAGAATTGAGATGGTGAAAAGTTCGTGCTATCTTTTTAATTTTTCTTAATATTTTAATTAATATTGACTTTTTCTTTTACAGGAGACGAGATGAGCATGGTGTATATATAGGTGTGTAATAATTACGATCGCACGTGCGCGCTGCTGGAAGTGAAAAATGAGAACTCATTAACAGAAGTACTGTAATATATGACAGTGCCTAGTATGGTGGTCCATGGAGTACTATTTTTCTTTACCGTTAGATCAATATAGTGTGCATCCATAGAATTTATGTTGAATGAATGTAAATTTACATAATTGATTTTTGAGTAAATGTGACTTAGAGATAAATTGATTTTTGTTTGAACAATTAGGTTATAAATTTAATTTTTATATTAATATTATTTTGAAATTTGTTATTAAAATTAATTTTGAATGTATAATTATAAATTTAGATAAATAAAATCTCATAATTTGATTTCGTTTGATAAGAAAGTTATTGATAGTCACTTTCATGTAGAAGTAAATCTCCACATCTTGAAATCAATTTTGTTAATATCCAAACATGCTACAAATGTGATTTTGGTCATTTTAGAAGTAATGGGATTGATTCCGGGCATGTTTGATGTGGAACCAAACACTCATAATTTGTACAATTATACAATATGTCTTATGTACATGATCCTTTTATATAATTTTATTTTCATTTTTTCCCTTTTCGGTAGACTTTTAATGTCACACTTTCTCTACATTTACACTCACCATAATGCATTGATAATGGTGTTGGCGCCCCAACTTTGACATCCAAACCCAAATTGCTCTTCCACTAAAATATTTGTTAATAACGGTTAGGATTTGAGCTCCCTTTCTATGTGGAGAATAGGCTCAAATTGTGTAAATCTATTATGTCTCACTTAACCAAGTAGAGAAAGGTTAGGTTAGGACAAAAAGAGTGACTTATTTTGAAGGAAAATGACAGCAAAATACAAAAAGAAGAGAAGAGAGAAAATTTAGTTGTTTAGTTCGCATATCCATTAGGCAGTGTTTGTTGGATTGCAATTGAAGATTCGTTCACTGTTGAATCAGACTAATTTTTGGACACCAAGTTCGTATGACATGGCTTTTCCTATTCAGCAATTAGATCTTCGAAATGAAGTTAGGAGTGGGAGAAACATGTTCCACAATAACAACTTTGTTTTTGGGGTTTTTCTTTTTCTTATTTCTCATTTGTAAGCAATTGTATTTGGTTTGCTTTGGCTAATTGTAAGCATTCTTTGGTGCATTCTTTGGAGACTTTCTTGTACCCTTTGTTGATCATACTGAAACTTTTCATTGGTCAAGACGACTCGTGATTTTTACCCTTACATTGAAGAGTTTTCCATGTTAAAAATATTTGTGTCTCTTGTGCGTTTGGGTTATCTATTTTTGCTTTATTTTATTGATGTTCCTCGTTGATTCTTGCAAGTAGGGAGATTTAATTGTTGTTACGTTATTGCTCTTTTTATTGAGTTGTTGTTATTGTGTTGAGTTTCCCTATCAGAGTGACATTAGAGCTCTTTGGTTAACGGGTTTTTGGCTTGCTTGAATGATGGAAGCACATACGAAGATGATTTCTTTGAATGGAGAAAATTAACTCTTGTGGAAGGGCAAGATCGATGAAGGCTTACTATTTGTGAAAATTTTGCATCTTTTTTGTCTGTGTTTCTTATAAGCCAAAATCCAAGTATGATGAAGAATGAGATTTTGAGCATCAACAGGTGTGTGAATTTATCAGAAAATTTGTTGATGATAATGTCTACAATTTTATTGATAATGAGACACATGCAAGAACCCTATAGGATAAGCTTGGGCCCCTGTATGCTTCTAAATCAGGAACTAATAAATTATACTTGTTAAGAAATTTGTGGAGTTGAAGTATAAGGAATGGTCTCCCATTGCAGATCACTTAAGTGAATTTCAAGGGCATTTTGATCAACTATCCAAAGTGGGTATAAAATTTGGTGAAGATTTATTAGGACTATTCCTAATAAACTCGCTACCTGATTAGTGGGAGACATTTTGGATTTCCATGATTAGTGTTGCCCCCTAATGGTCATGTTTCTTTGCAAATGGAGAAGAGTGGTGCATTTAATGAGCATATGAGAAGGAAAACATAGGGTATTTCATCTCATTTAGAGGTGTTTGTTGCTAAAAACAAGGGGAGAAGCCAGCAGAAAGAAGGATGGTAGATTGATGGAGAAGGTGAGGAGGAGTGATTGATGTTCTTCTCCTTAGCTTCTCCTAGCCACGGATCTTCTTCAAGGAGATGCAAACCGAATGGATTGAAGCAATAATGGAAGATGATTCACGGATGTAGAAGAGGCTTAAGCCTTGGATGGAAGCATCCAAGCTTAAGAAGCAAGAGAAGGCTCACTTCAAAGAGGAGGAAACCTAATAGGGTTCCTAAGGTGAAACTCACTTTCTCTCAAGAAGACTTTGAAGGAAACTCGGCACTTGGCTCTCAAATTTCATAAATGTTCAAAGTGAATACAATAGGTGGGAGAAACACTTAAGTAGACTTCCGGTTATGCAAACTTTGGGCGCCTAAATCAAAGGCTACATGTGGCGCCCAAAATTTGAATTCAAATTTGAAATTTGAATTCAAATTTTGGCTCCCATGTGCTTGGCCGAAAATTCAGGTACTTAAGGTGCATCTAGGTTGAATTTGGAGTGTCATTTAGGGTTAATTTGAGGTCACATGTTCAGCCACCAAAGGTGTTAAACATGTGACTCAAATGTAACTTAAATGGCTTCCAAATTAAACCTAATTTAACCTAATTAGCCTACTTTAGTATTCCTTGTATTTTCCTATTCTAATGACCTAAATACATTGGTCAAACAAATACAATGGAAAGGAAAAATTACAAGAATGAAAATGAGCCCAATATTGGGTACCAAAAGCCCAAAGGCCCATGAAGCCCAAAACTAGGCCCAACAAGCCTAAAACCTAAATTGCTACTCTATGTGGTCCAAAATACAAGACCAATATATATTCAAACTATGCTAACAAAATGTAATAAGATTGTTCATAACAACATAGGCCCATGTTAAAAACTTGGTTTGGGCCTTCCAAGCCCATAGGGCCCATTGGGCCTTGACTGGCCCAATCTTCCATGTCTAGCCCACTCCTCTTGGATCTTTGAGTGTGTCACCTCTTGCATTCCCAAGTATGATTAATTCCATCATCCCCTCCCTCTTGAAAAGGATTTGTCCTCAAATCTAGAGGATGCATGGAAGAAAAATTAGCGCCTATATGTAAAACATGCAAGGAATAAGAAGTGAGATGGTAAGAAAAATCATGGATCCTAAGTGGAGTCCTACTATCTAACCTAACAAAGAAAGATAAAATATTAGACTCTCTAAAAATAGAAATAGGCTCCTCTCCTAAGCATAACCTAGAAGTAAAACCTAAAAATGTGAAAACACTATGACTAAGACAACGAAAATAATGATTTTTAAACACTACAATATCTTGCCTAAAGTACCCTAAATGGTAACCTAGGCTTTTCCTAAAATATAAAGAAAAGACTACTAAAAAAACGCCCTAAACAATTTTGGATTTGATTGTTTGTTAGATATTGATAATCATATAAACTACATTTGTCTTGTAGGGAAGAATTCAAATTAAGTTCAAAAAAATAAGAACTTCCCATAGAAGAAAACATAGAATATAGATTATAACTATTTGTATCTACCAAACAATGTAAACAAAAAATTGGGTGCTTTATTAAAACCACAAAAATACTTCCTCCTTTGTGCACCTCCAAGGAAGTAGTATAAGAAGTTAAACTAGAACTAGTCCACTCCTTCTTCACTATATCTCTAAGTTGAGAATTCTTGGTTTGAAGTTTATTTTGTTTCTCATTCTCAACTTTAAGATAAGTAGCAGCATTAGGATAAGAGTCAAGACTTTTATGAATAAAGAGAGTTCTTTTTTAAACAAAATTTATTTATTTTTTTACAAAACATTTTTTTCTACAAAGGGGATTAAACTTTTTTATAAGCACTTTTTTTTTCTAACAAATTATTTTTTTATGACCAAAGAATTGCAAAAATGTTAAAAGTTTTTATCAATTTTATTTTAAATGAAATTTTCATGGTCCATAGTAACTCCAATTAATATAATATAATATATATATATATATATATATATATACACATTTATTTATTTATTTAATAATTTGTTAAATTTTTATTTCTATTCAAATAAAAAAAGTTAACTTACATTCATAAATTTATATTTATATTCGATTTACATACATATTTTTTTCAATTATATCTTTTATATTGTAAAATTAAATTCATAAGAAAAAATAATTTTATTTTTTACTTTGTTTTTTAAAAAATTTTGTTAGTCTTAAAATTGTAGAAATAAATTTAAAAATTTTTAAAATGTTAATATGTTAAAAAATAAAATAAAATAAATTTTCTTTTAAAAAAATTTAAATAGGATTGTTGTGACCCATAACAACCCCTTTGAATATTAAAAAAAATATGTAGTCAATAAAAATTTTTTAAAAAAATATTTGGGTTTCTACAAGTTGTAACAACCCTAGGAAAAAAAATAAGTCACCTTGTATCGTTACAGTTGGT